GCTAATTCCTGTTGTAGCACCCCTTGTGGAAACGCTGAGAATGCAACACATGCTAGTGACACATTTTGCAAGGTAAACGACATAGGGAATCAAGATTGTGTGGTAGCTTATATTTTTCTTCCAACGTTATTGTGATAGACTGAAGTGCATTGAGAGACGGAATGGTGGAAAACCACAGAGAGCTGTGATCATGATTACACAAGGTCAATAAGCAAATACCCAAAGAGACTACAACTGTCAGTGTACAAAGATTTGAAGGGAAGAAAAACATGTTTCATCAGTGGCTGGTACCTCAACAAAGTCAAGATGATCTCTAGACAACATTACCTATAACAGCAGTCTAACATAAGCCTGATTACATAAGATATTACCAACACAGAAGAGACAAAGGGATAAATAGTAAAATAGGTTTATAGAGTCCCTCATTTTACAAAAGCACATGGTTTAGTTCATATTTTGATAATATTACTGGTTACTGGACCTTTGCTAAACTTTTTCAGGCAACCCAAGGCAACATCCATGAAACGCTGCTGAAAAATGCTGTTTTGGTTAGCTGAATAGCTGAATAGTTGCAAAGAAAGACTCAACATACCCAGCTATTATCAGCAATTTGAATATTTTGCTGTCAGAACAATTGCCATTCACCCTGTATTTAGACATAAGGACCTCACTAATATAGAGGAATTTGTTATAAGATGAGTGAGTCTAGGCATGCAGTTCCTGTTGGGAATGTCTGTGACTTTGCTCTGCTGATTTCAGTAATGGTTTTGGACTTGGGGCAACACATTTATTGAAGAATAACTTTGAGGAATTCCATTCTGGACAATCAAATCTTAAGAGTAACTGAATGTTCTTGTTCTTCTCAGTTAACCCAATCAACCTATGGTCTTATTACATCTGAGACATTAAACAGAAGAAAACTTTAAAGTAAAGTTTAAAGTAGAAAATGGACTGTGTACTGTGGTACCAGAAGTCATACATTGTTTGTGAGATGTTTGCTAGCTGCAAAAGATAAAAAAAAAAACACACACACACCCCCAA